TGTATATATATTATTATTACAATATATATATAGTGTGTATATATATATATATATATATATATATGTATATATATATATAATGCTATATATATATAATGCTATATGTATTTTATGCATAGTTTAGTATATAATTATGTATACAAACATTGTACATTTTATATATCCAGATGTGAATATCCGTATCTATATATATAAACCACAACGCTGCCTGTAGAGCGTTACATGTAGCATGCGTTTAGTACAGAACAGTTTCTCTCTTGTCAACCATTAAACATAGTCGTTGTCATGCTCAGTTGTTTTTTGATCAACTAATTGGACTATATTCACAGCTAGGCTTGGATGTACGTATTCAGTCCCATGCTTGGCTTATTTCGAGTGTCTCCCTGCAAAGTGCGTGTTAGTGGCCTGTGTGCACGTGAGTCAGTCCTGCCAATGCCTATTATGCAGTCGCCTATTACATATACCCCTGTGTTGCTAGGTTGATCCGTTGATCAGGAAATTCCGCCTATTGCTACTACTATCGAGATTGTGCTAGCTGCGGCTCGCAAGTCCTGTACTGTTTAAATCGTGTGGAAATGCACCTCAATTACGGTATGGCGTACACTTTGCACAGAAATTCTACGACAGTGTCACGGAAAAGGCCCTGGAAAGACCCCAACTAGCCGTACAATTGTCCAAGGACATGAAAGAGAGAAACGCGTCCATACTCAACACCAAATCAAGGCTGTTTAGGAGGGCTTCTAAATCCTCGGTCAGTGTAAGTTGTGGCTGGGATGCCATTCGTTCCGACCCTATATAGGGTTTATTCGAACACGTTTTCTCTTTTCTATTTTTTATAGGCGTGAGTTACATGCATTTAATTTAAGCAAACCACATGTGTGTGTATTTAAGGAATTATATATCCAAAGTGAGTGTGTGTGCTCATTTCTAGACTCTCAACCTTGGAGAACGTATGCGTACATATTGGCTTGTGCGAGCACCTTGCACTGTTTATCTCTCTCTCTCAGCAGCTATTTAGCGTCCCGAACCAATGCACCTGGACTCATTCTTTTTGTACCTTTCTGTCCCAAATCGCAGTGTCGGAGGTCGCGAGGCACCCACAGTCTGAGTATAATGAGTTTACCAGCTCCGCTGAGACTTCTACCGTACTCGAACAATTTCTCATACGTAAGTGTTTTGTATGTGTTTCTGATCTAGATTTGGTCCACAATACATTGAAATGTTCCTATATCTGGCTGGCTGTGTTATATACATAGCTTATGAGTGTACCTATATTCATCCTGCTATTGAACTCTGCTCAATTGAACCCATTTCAGGGGTTTTCTCTTAAACTATCGAGCCTGTGCTGGCAACTACCACAGCCCATCGCATACCACAAACCCTAAACCCCGAACCCTAAACCCCTTCCTGACTATACTAATATAAACCTGGTTCTATCCAGTACTATAGATTCACTGACCCTCACACATACGATGTTATCCCTGTAACAACACTTTGTATGTAGTAGGACTTACAATGCCCTATCGCATATCAATACACGCCTATTTGATATAGTATTAGTATCAACACGTAGTCTTGCAATATTAGACCGCAAATGACACCCACATGTTGGTGAGTTATTCAAGACACACTCCGAGACACATACCAGCACTGATTCTCACCCATTCGATATTAATCCAGTTTCCGGACGGTGTAAATAAGCCTGGCCTATTCGAGTGCTTTCAGTATCAACGCTTGTCCGTATAACCTTATACTAGCACTGATCCTAATCCATTCGATATTAATCCAGTTTCCGGACGGCAACACCGTGTGTGACGCACCCAACGACCCTTGCACACTGAAAATGGAATTAAATCGAAAGTACGAGAAACAGCGAGAATACAAACAGGCCAGGTTCCGAGCATGGCACAAGACATTCGCACGATTACAGGGCCATGTGCTCTTCTTCTACAAAGTTAACAAGGTCTGCGTGTATCTTGTGTATGAATAGACAGATCTATATATGTATATATGTATGTATGTATGTATGTATGTATGTATGTATGTATGTATGTATGTATGTATGTATGTATGTATGTATGTATTTATGTATGTATGTATGTATGTATGTATGTATGTATGGTATGTATGTTTGTAAGTATGTATGCATGCATGTATGCATGTATGCATGTATGTATGTATGTATGTATGTATGTATGTATGTATTCATGTATGTATTGTGTATGTATTATGTATGTATGTATGTATGTATGTATGTACATGTCTATATGTATGTATGTATGTATGTATGTATGTATGTATGTATGCATGTATATATGTATGTATGTAAATATATATATATATATATGTGTGTGTGTGTGTGTGTGTATATATATATATAATTTGATGTCTATATACACTCGTTTGAGTGAACCCCATTTCAGCGCCATGAGGTATCCCGCTACCTCCATTGCCTTCCTTGGCTAAATGTACCGATATACGTACCTGTATTTGAAATGTCTATCCTTTTTTGTCATCCATTGACTTGGGCAGAGCTCGTGTCCCACGCATGTTCTCCAAACTCTATTTCGTTGGCACATCGATTGACTCAGGATATAAAAAAAGTTGTCTTTAACCACCGATGTTCTCACCAGTTCTAGAGAAAAGAAAAAACACATCCTTTGGTTAAGACGGTGTAAAGATCGTTTGCCACATGTACGCTGATGTTTTATACTACAACCCTTCCTGTGCCTATGTCCTGAGGGAATATAACGCTACTTACCACATACATCCCCACATGCGTGCTAATGCTCTCCGTCCTGCACCCGTGTCCTCTGCAGAAGTCGTCTGAGGGCCATGTGACGCTCAACCACTCCTTCAGTCAACCCATTGCGCTGCATCGGCGATCGTTCGTGTGGCGTGTGACCTGCTTTAATCACGGCACTCTGCTGTTGCAAGCGGCAACTCAGGCCGACATGCAGGTGTGTGTTCCCTGTGAGTGTTGGTATGTGCTTGTGGTTTTAGGGTTTAAGGTCTTAGGGTTTTGTAAACCCCTAAAAACCCTTCGTGTGGCCGTTGACCTGCTTTAATCATGGCACTCTGCTGTTGCAAGTGGCAACTCAGGCCGACATGCAGGTGTGTGTCCCCTGTGTGTTGGTGTGTGCTTGTCGTGTAGTGTGTGTCCGTCATCTGTGCCCGCGTGAGTTTGTGTGAGTGTTTGGCATGTGTATATACTGTGCGTGTGGGTGTGTGTTGTGTAGGTCGCTTGTGTGCATGTAGTGTGTGTGTGTGTTGTTGTGCTTGCATGGGATGTCTATGGATATGTGCAGATGTCCTGAATGTGTGCGTGCGTGTGAATACTATATATACATATTTTGTGTGTATATGCGCCATGTGTGTGTATGTACGATCCAAGCCCCCAATTTAGAAACGGACTCCTGGCAGTCCTGATTTGGGTGTCTACTTGCGGAAAATCATTCCCAAACTTTTGGCTTTCATAACCTTTTCTGCCGATTCTGATCCCGATATATACAACACTGTATCGTTCGCAGAAATGGGTTTTAGCACTCAATACGGCGGCAGCGGAGATGAGCGTCGCACCCATGAGTGCTGGAGTGTCGTCGTACACAGCACTTTTCCACAGGCCGATCATGCCAACGTCGGTATCTAATTTAGACAAGGTTGGTAGTTCTAGTAATAGATTTGGTATGTCTAAAAATAGATTCTGTTTAACTTGTGCATAGTCCCTTTTCACACGGTACTTTTCCATAGGTCGATTGTGCCGACCTCGGTATTAAGTTTTAGACGAGGTGTGTAGTTCTGAAAAGAATTGGGCCAGATAGTGTTCTAAGTCAGAGATAGCCATACTGTGTGCAATGGACTATACTGCACATACCGGTTGCACCCATACGATTGTGTATGTATATATGTTCTGCTACATTTTTAGGTACACGCAGTAATATTAAAAATACATCGACTAACCCCCGAAGCCCTACAGAAAATACACAATGCGAGGGATAAAGTTGTTTAGCTCACCAGTTGTACTGTTTCGTTTTACCCTCAGACTGCACAACTGACGCTGTGGAGGCGCACGCTTGAGCAAACGCGGCTGGATTTGGATGAACACAAGAAACGGAAGGGGGCACCTGGTAGGCCTATTTGATATATATATATATATATATATATATATATATTATATGTATATGTATATGTATGATATATA